TTTTTTTTTGCATTGAGGGAAAAGCACATGCATTCTCTTACAGGTCCTAGAATATTCATGGTGTCGAGTTGTCACATGATTTCAAAATTAAAAATTTAGGAGCAGTGTGATGATTGTAAAAATGTCACAAAGGAATTAGCCAACGATTACGGTGACATCCAAGCCGATTTAGTAGAGATGCGAGAGGAGATCCTTGCGCTCAGAAAGGAGAAACTAAGTTACCAGAAACAGATAGCGAAGCTGGAGAAGAAAGCTATCGCCCAGGAAAGAGAACTGGAGGAACTGAAAGCTAGAATGGACACTGTCCAAAAAGTAACCATTGATGTGCAGAAACGATACGATCTTGTATTCAGGAATTTACTTGCTCTTTATGAAGAGGCAAAAAACAATAAGGAAAAGATTCGTAAGTTGGAAGAAGCGGTACTTCAGTAAAATAACCGTTAATTTTGAGCTTTTGAGAATATTTGGCGTGATAATTGCCGTCAAACTTTTCATCTGCTGCGAACGTATAACAAAATTCAGTACATGCTGTTGTAAAACTGCGGTGACGACAACATTTGCGCGGAAGCAAATGCCCAGCTCGTGAATGCTGGCGACCTGCCTGCGACCTGCGCGTAAAAAGCGGCCGTGAAGCGCACATTTTCATTTTTTACGCGCGAATGTTGTCGATAACGCAACGACACTATAATTAGTCACGTCTACCAGGCTGTAGCTTTCCGTTTGTGGTGGTGGGATTACTTTTGTACTTACTTCACTCTAGACAGGAAATTAGCTACATCTCCCTATCTTGCACTTAGAAGCATTTGAATTTTTGAACCTTAATTCTAGATGTATGAAACCTTACGCTACTCTGCGTATGCGAGTTGATCCTGAATTTTAAAGAAAAACGCGTGCTTTGCGCTGTTGTGACTTCGCACATCCTGGAAATCTGGTACTGAACTCTTTATTTGATGTTATTAGAAAAATAGCGTGGAAAGCAAGGGTGATTTCACACTTACTAAACTTTACCAGTGCCAGATGATCGGAAATTGACGGCATCTATACGTTGAATACTTCCATTTCAACATCCAGGTCAAATCTGCTTGCTAGACCCTTAATATTTTTATACCCCCGTCCCCCTTTAGCGCTTACTCCGAGTAGTAGTTTTTGCATTGCACTCCAAATTTTACTTCATCAGTTCTTCTTGTCCGGCGCTTTTTAATTGCAATAATCTTTGTCTATCTAGTTGTGATACGGCAAGTAGATTTTCTTTGCCTTTGAAATCTCGAAATATATGATACTAGTCTTGGCCATCGCACTGTAAATTCTCGAAACATTTAAGTGATTGATTAGTTTTTAGCTTCTGTTAGATTGTCACTTTGCACGCTTGTTTATAGCCTTTGCTTCGTTGACCCCATATTGACTAGTTCTTGACTCATGTACAGTATACGTGTAGAAATTGGGACATAATGGGTGAGGAACTTCATGGAACCGGTTGTAGCATTGTGTACCTATTGGTTTGTAGTATCTTTAGCCTTGTTATTGTTACCTGTGCTAGTCACTATAAAACATTTTCTTGATTTGTGTAATGTTGCATTCATGGTCTACTTCCTCGTGATAATTGGAAGGTTAGAAGCTATACGTAGAGGGCGCCCTATCTTTGTAAGTTTTGTTCTTTCAAACAAGAGGCTCCCAAAAAAATCCTTCAGTCAGGTAAGAAAACCTTTGGAAGAACAATATCGAACAACAGAGCCGCCACCCGCGACCCTTGCGTCGACAGAAATTCATTCGATAAAATGATAAAATGATAAATAATAATAATAATAAT